TTCAGGGAAGGCAGTATACGAACCAAAAAGAAGATAGAAATAGAGTTARAATTTAATCAGAAGATAAGTAAAACTCAAGTGTCCAAACATTAAATGTCCTATATACTAAACATGTTCACCCGGTATAATAGTCCCTCGGCAAGTAAATGTCCTTCAGAGGACCAAACTGGTCAAATGCTCTCCTGYGGTCTTCTTGCCTGCAGAAAAGGAAGATATGTAAGAAGAGACTTACAATTTGCTAAAAGCCATGAAATGAAGACAGATAAGAATCAAAATTAGCTARAAAGAATCAAAACTCAGAGAATTGTGAACACAAAAAGTGACAGAGAAAGTGTCTTYAAACAAAACAATGGCATCTCTCATCTTCAACAACAACAAAAAACTCAGAGAATCTAACAAAATGRGATKTGTATTACCTGTATATATATGTCTATTCGTTAGATACAAAAATGATTGTAGATTTCATCTCTTCTTTGCTCAACGATGCTTCAACAATAATCTGCAATTATTAAACAGTCCAAACAACAAACTGAAATCATCCAAGAATGAAAAAAAARAGAACAGTATGATGTAGATCCTTCTTATTTTTTTTTATTTTACCTCTTGCATTCTATTTCCAGCTCGAGCAAGCAGTTTGTATTGGTTTTCAAACAGTGGTGCCATGTAAACCTACACAGCGAGATTGAAAGCAAACCAGAGATCTTATTAGATTCCAATCAAAACATAGAAAATTCACATSGGAAACAAAAACCCAAGCATTATTATTTCATAAAATCGAAAAACTATTCAAAAACCAAGTACAACATTTGCAGAATCAGTGAAATTGAATCATCAAATACGGAAATTAATGGCTAATTGTACGAATCTAAACGAAACTAAACCCTCAAATGTTTTTTCTTCTTCTATATGCTCTGCTCTATTACCTGTTTTGATCTCTATCATCAGTGTCTGTCACTCGGACTTCTCATGTTCTCTAACTTTGCTAGATATGAGAATTTCTTCGGTAGAGCTCTCGGAGACTTCATTGGAGACTTCATCATTGGCTTCTCTTGCTCAGCTTTGTGGAAGAATTCTATATCACTCATTTAACTATGCTTCTTTATATCTTCAGCCAAATAAGGCTCTTTCCTAGACTGAGAGAAATCTCTACCCAAATGAGAAGGAATGACACTTGAACATCACTGAAACACAGTATTTTATCCATAATAATCCAAAGCCAGAAAGGTCACTACAGATACCTGTAACAAAGCCCTTCAACTGGAAGCTCAGGACCATCTTCTCCCTGGCTTCGGAATAAGAAATACGGACAGATTATTAAGCAAAGACTCCAATTTTGAAAATTTGAGTAGAACATTATAACATAAATTTATCTCCTGTTTCGTCCATGGGGATCCAATTAGTCCTATAATTCTAATTAACCCAAATTCTCGGCTATGCACTTCAGGATTTCAAACTCTCAAATGGCACACGAAAACTCTGAACAAAAACTACCAAATCYATTAAAAAAGATGAATGAAGAGACAGAGAAATTACCTTGATTGTGATTTCATCTGGTGTGAGATCTTTGTATTCATAACTAATTCGTTCAGAAGCATGAATTCATCATCGGGGATTAACGTCTTATCACCGGAAGCCAAGGAAAGAGAAGAGCTCGTGGAATCTGCAGCTCTTGCAAGGAATCCATCCTCAYAATCTCTCTTCTCACATAGAGCCATCTCTGCCGTGGAATCAGAGACGGCTGTGAAGATGAAACGACGGATAGATTTTCATGACGACGATCGCACAAGATAGAGCCATCTTTGCTTCCAGTTCCACCAGACTGTGAGGACCACAAGATCGAGAGATTCGATTGAAAGAGAAGATTATCTTCGATT